GCCACCGGACTTCCTTGTGCCGGTTCCCCCCCCCGTAGACCCCCTCCCCCCTCAGGTTCCTGCCCCCTCAGGTGTGTCCCAGGTAGACGCCGTTGACCCGGTCGAGGTTACTGGTGACTCTGGTGCTGCTGCGGGTGCTGAGCCTGGGGGTGCTGACTCTGGGGGTGCTGTGCGCGTGGGTGCTGAGCCTGGGGGTGCCGAGCCTGGAGGTGCTGCTACTGGGGGTGCTGAGCCTGGGGGTGCTACTGCTGAGGGTGCTGAGCCTGGGGGTGCTGAGCCGGGGGGTCCTGTGCCTGGAGCTGCTGAGCTAGGGGGTGTTGAGCCTGGGGGTGCTGAGTCTGGAGCTGCTGAGCCTGGGGGTGCTGCGTCTGGAGCTGCTGCGCCTGGGGTTTCTCCTGGTGCTCCGTCTCGGCGGAAGCCCCTCTCTCCACAGGAGCTGCGCGAGTGGTTTGCTCGCCGCTGGAGGCGTACTACTGGAGCTGGAGCTTCTTCAACTGTCGAGGGTGCTGGTGCCGCCGGTCCCATAGCTGCTAGGCCTGCGGGTCCTACTGGAGCTGGAGCTACTGAGGGTGTTGGTGCTGAGACTACTGCTGTCTGTCCTGGCGGTGGTCCTGCTGCTGGTGCTGCTGGAGGTCCTGCCGCTGGAGGTGTTGGTGGCACTGGTGCTGCCGCTGAGGGTGCTGGTGCTGTCCCTAATGGGTCGGGAGCTGCCGCGCGGCCACGGCCGTACTTCGTTCCGCTCCTACAGCAGGTTCTTGGTCTTTCTCCTCCTGTAGAGTGTCCACAGCCTGTCCAGTCGCGGTCACTGTTGGAGCCTACCTCCCCACTGCCTGCTCCCTCTCCTTACACTGGTCCTACTGGAGGTCTTGCTGAGCGTTGTGAGCCTGCGTCTCGTCCCGCGTCACCGGTTCGTGCTGCTCGCGCTAGTGGTCGCAGCTCGCGTCAGCGTCCTCCTCCTGTCCCTGGCACGCACCGGATGTCTCTGCGTCCGTCCCCTGCTCCTCTGCGTGCCCCTTTGCCTTCTCCTCCTGAGTCCTCTCTTCCTGCGCTTTCCGACCCGGAGTCGGACTCTCTTCGTGCTGCCAGTCCTACTGTCACGTGTCTTCTTGCTACTGTTGTCACTGACCCCTCTTTTGAGTCCACTGCTGCGTCTGCTCTTGTCGCTGAGCTTGTCGACTTTGCTGCTCGCTGTCGTCTAGACTACGCTGCTAGTCTTGTTGCTGAGTCTGCGTCTGTCTGTCCTCCGTCCGTCGGGGGTGAGTGTGCTCTTGGGACGGACGTCCTTGAGGACAGGCAGGAGGAGTTCCAGTGTCTGGCTGCTGCTTCACCTCATCTCGCGTCTGTACTGCTTGCCCCTGAGGGAGACCCGGATGCACTAGACATCCCGACTCCGCGTTCTTACGCGGAGGCCGTTGAGGGTCCCTACTCCTCTCAGTGGCAGGCAGCTATGGATGCAGAGATGGCCTCCTGGAAGTCCACAGGCAACTACGTTGACGAGGTTCCCCCTCCTGGGGCGAACATCGTCAGTGGCATGTGGATCTTCAGGGTGAAGCGGCCGTCTGGCTCTCCACCTGTCTTCAAGGCGCGGTACGTTGCTCGTGGCTTCAGTCAGCGGCAGGGAGTTGACTACTTTCAGACCTTCTCTCCCACCCCGAAGATGACTACTCTTCGCGTGCTGCTGCACATAGCCGCTCAGCGCGACTACGAGCTTCACTCTCTTGACTTCAGCACTGCTTTCTTGTAGGGCAGCCTGCACGAGGAGATCCGCCTGGCTTCACTGGGACTTTCCCTCCTGGCACCCAGTGGAGCCTCCGACGGCCAGTCTACGGTCTCCGCCAGGCACCGCGTGAGTGGCACAACACACTGAGGACTACGCTTGCGGCTCTTGGGTTTGCTCCCTCTACTGCTGACCCGTCGTTGTTTCTGCGCACCGACACTTCTCTGCCGCCGTTCTACATCCTCGTGTACGTCGACGACCTGGTCTTTGCCACTGCTGACACTACTGGACTCGCCTACGTGAAGTCCGAGCTGCAGAAGAGACACACGTGCACAGACCTGGATGAACTGCGCAGCTACCTTGGCTTGCAGATCACCCGGGACAGAGCACGCCGCACCATTACCCTGACTCCGTCACACATGGTGCAGCAGGTCCTTCAGCGCTTCGGCTTCACGTACTCCTCGCCTCAGGCCACTCTTCTGGCTACTCGCCACTCGCTCTCAGCTCTGCCTTCGGATGAGTCCGTAGAGTCAAGTGGCCCGTACCCAGAGCTTGTTGGTTGCCTCATGTACCTGATGACCTGCACACGACCTGACTTTGCATACCCTCTTAGCATTCTTGCACGCTTTGTTGCTCCAGGGAGACACCGACCAGAGCACATGGCTGCAGCGAAGAGGGTGTTGCGCTACTTGTGCAGTACGTCGGGCATGGGGCTAGTGCTTGGAGGGCGGAGTCTAGTGGTCCTCATTGGTCACGCAGACACTTCTTGGGCTGACGACCAGGCTACGCAGCGGTCGTCGCAGGGGTACACCTTCAGTCTTGGTTCTGGCTCTGTTTCTTGGCGGGCTACTCGCTCGTCTTCTGTTCTCGGCTCCAGTTGTGAGGCTGAGATCTACGCCGGGGCCATGGCTGCACAGGAGCTTCGCTGGCTCACCTACCTGTTGACTGACCTTGGAGAGCCGCCTCGTTCTCCTCCAGTGCTGTACGTAGACAACAAGGCCATGCTGGCCTTGTGTCGAGAGCAGCGCTTGGAGCACAGAACGAAGCACATTTCTCTCCGCTACTTCCTTGCTCGTGAGCTGCAGCAGCGTGGTCAGTTGCGACTTGCGTACGTGGCCTCTGAGGCCAACACTGCTGATGTTTTCACCAAGGCACTTCCGCCTTGTGATCATCAGCGTTTCTGCACTCAGCTGGGACTTGTACCTGTCCTACCTCACTTGCTCACCTCTTGACCTTGCTTGTACTCTTGCATATATATATACCTGCTCTTGCTTGTTTAGCCTTATATATATATGCCTTCTCTTGCATGTGAACTGGCCTTATGACCTTGACCCTGTGCTCGGACTGTGTGGTGGCTTTGTGATCCACCCTGAGCTTGCTTTGCGTTGCTTTGCTTGACTGGTCTTGTGACCCCTTGTTCTCCCCCACTTTGCCTATGGGGGTGTGTCAGATTTACATGACATAGCTGTTGTAGGCTATAGTGGGGTAGCACATATGGGGTACAGGTTTCTAGGGTTGTATTTGTACCCAATCTTTCCTTAGTCATTCTCATTCCTGTTCTTCAGTTTCACAAGAAGCCGCGATCGGCTCGAAGCGCGCCCAAAGCCCTGCGCACCACGCATCCCACGTGCTGTATTGGGTGGTCTCGCAGAATGAACTCCATGTGAAAGCTGGGCCCGTGGGCCCTTCCTCTTGCGACGGTGGCTTGTAGGCGCGTGGCGACGTTACGATGACTCGCCACCAGTCCATGGCGGGGCCCTTTAGCAGCGAAACGACATACCGAATCTTCGTTGCGTCCGACTCGACGTAATTCGCGTCGAAGAAGACGTTCATCGTGAAGATCCACGATTGAACCGTCGGACCTCCACACTGGCTCGGGTCGAAGCAGGGCGGGCGTTGCGGCTTGAGTGGCATTGGTGCCATAATGGTCTGTTCGCCACTTGTCGCCACGAAATCCACGTGTCGACGGGCTTCGCGAGACTCCCGCGGGCTTGGTGCGACCCTGTTTCCTCCCATGCCAGGCATCGGCTTGGCGGCGCCATCGCTGGCTGCGCCTGAGCGCTGTCCCACGCTGTTGTTTTGTGTTGGTGTGCCGGACAAGATGACGATCGGCTCGTCTGATTGTGCAGATGCATTTGTCGGTGCGTGTGGTGGCGCTGGAGTGTTCATCGTTGATTGCTGACGCGCGGAGTCACGTTCCGCCATGAGCGTCGCAATTTCGAGCGCCGAATCTTCAAGTTGGCGCACCAGACGGTCGAGCTGCTCCTGCGTCAATGTGGCGAGCGTGAATTCGGCCATGGCGGGGGTGTCGGGCGAGCTCAGCGAGAGCCTCGGTCGTGGCCGTGCGTGCTTACGAGAGAGCACTACGAACGGCGGTGCTGTGTCGCTGAGAGACGTCTACCCCCCCCCCCCCCCCAAAATTGAGATAGTGGGGAAGCGAAGGTGTGGGTGCGGTCCGAGAGGAGATCGTAGGCTCTGATACCAAGTGTTACGAGTGCAATTGAGGGTACATTCCGCTGTGGACACATATCCCAATCGATGTGTCCCAATTGTTTCTACCGCACTGCATCATATTACACCAATTTGCACCCTAGTTCCGAAATTTTCGCGTCTCTGGTTTAATTCGGTTCGGAGCGGTACACTCGATTGGGACACATCGATTGGGATATGTGTCCACAGCGGAATGTATACTGAGTGAACGAACGAGAATTGCACTATCGAAGCAAGAGTACAATGAGCAAAGACATGAGCGAAGAATATATAGCGAAACTACAGTGTTAACGGTAATGGACTGTAGTTGTCGCGGGACGGGCCTGAAACTGAGGTTGGGAAAAAGTGTCGAAGCGGAGGCCCGGAGCGCGGGTTACCCGCCGAGCCGTGAGGTCGGGGTGCGATGTGCGAAGGTGGCGGGCTGATTGTCGATGCGAGGGTTGCGAGTGGTAACGGTGCTGACTGTGGTGCTATAGTGATGTACGCGTTGAGCAGGGATGCGAAGTAAGGAAAAGGAAGTTTCCTTACAAGCATCACCACCACCCAAGCAGCATTTGAGCCTGCTCCGCCATGTCCTGCATTCCATGTTCACGTATCGTCGACACTAATGGAGTCCTTTTGCTTCTAAAGCGTGAGCTCAAAGAATCCATCGTGCAATGCGCGACGCATAGCGACTCCGGAACCTGATCAGCCGCAATTTCTTCCTTTCACTCAGTTTCCATCCTTATCACCTGAATGTAAAGTCGGACCGCATCGTTTTCCCAGCAAACGTAACGCCCATCTGCTAGACCTCATGGCTTTCGATAAAGTCACGGCGTCGCGGGCGGTGCTCAACCCGCAACTCGCGCCGCGTCTTGCGGAGTACGTGTCGCTGCTAGAGCCGGCCGCAGTCGCCGCGGAGTTTAAGCGGCTCGCACGGATGCAGCGCGGATGGCGGAAGCTGCAGTCAGACTGGCGAGGACGGTGGGGTGCGGGGGTACGGGCTCGGAAGCGGCGGAAGCGGAGGGGAGCGGAGGATGAGGGGGGAATGAGGGGGAAGGGGCTGGTAAAGACGGAAGAGGGAGAGGATGGGAAGAGGGAGAAGGTGTCACGAGGCGGAAAGGTCAAGAGGGAGGGGGACAATGACGGTAGCGGGGGAAGGCATAGGGGAGGCGGAGAGCGAAGGGGAAGAGGAAGGGCAGCGCGGCTGGATGTTGCGGAGATGTTTGAAATGGGCGACGAGGTGAGCCATGGTGCCTTTGGCGCTGGTTGGTTCTTTGTTTTACTGACTCATTGACTTGGAATGTCACGTCCGACTCTCTTCAGGCGACTGCTTAGTGAATCTAGTCATACGTGGCGACCTAGATGTTGAAACTGTATTGAGGCAATGGTTATTTTCTTGGAATATTGTGCCATGTTTTATCGATCGTTTGCAGCCCAACATGCGCAGTGCCTGTGGTCGGTAGGGTGGCTGTGACTGTTTTTTTTTTTTTGTACCTTCCTCGTGTTTTTCAGGTGCAACGGGCAGTGTTGGCTGTCTTCTTCCTAAGAAAGTGCACTGTGCGTTTTTTTCTCCACATGCGTGAGAGTCGGGCCGCCACAGAAGGAGGGGCAAGGGGAGCGGAGGAGGAAGTGGAGTGGGAGAAGCTGAGGTTTAAGAGGCGTGATAGTGAAGGGAAGAGAAAAAGAGGAGTGCAGAGAGCTGAGGGGGGTGTGTGGGGGAGAGGAGGGTTGGGGGAGTGGGGCCTGGGAGGTCTTGAGGAGGAATTGATGGGTGCTGCTGCCTTGCGCATGGTTAGAGAGCGGTGCAAAGGGATGAAAGGGGAGGAGGGAGAGGAGGAGGAGGAGGAGGAGGAGGAGGAGGAGGAGGAGGAGGAGGAGGAGGAGGAGGAGGAGGAGGAGGAGGAGGAGGAGGAGGAGGAGGAAGAGGAAGAAGAAAAAGAAGAAGAAGAAGAGGAGAGGATGTTATTTGACGATCCCATGTTTCTCCCAGAGCTGCTCTGCCTGCTTCCAGCTCTGGCACTCAAGTGCCCCTCCCTCCTGCCGCCAGGTCAGCCACTTGTAACACACAGACGTCGCTACAACGCAAAACACAAACCTTTCTCCCACCTTATGTCAAAGCGCTCCCTTCATTCAACGCTCCAAGTTTCTTTGCCCTCCAATCCCTTTCCAGCATTCCTGAGGAATCATTTGATCCCTCTCTCACCCCTGCTGGTCCGGTCCCTCACCCCTCTGCTGTCCCTACAGGTCTGGCTGTTCTCGGACTGCTGGCTTCAAGGCTCGGCCCGAGCCTGATTGCAGGTCTCGTGCTCCAAACCTCTCCGCAGTTCCGAACCTCCGCGATCAAGCTCCTCGCGCGAGTCTTAGCCCAAACATCAGCCTCCACATCCGCACCTACAGCAATTCCCTCTCAACCTGCCCCACCATCGTCTCTCCCTGAACCGCAACCCACACATTGGGGGGCTGCTTCTGCTGCTGCTGCTGCTGCGCCTGGGGATTCTAAAACGCCTGTGGCAGCAGGCCGTTCAGGTGCTACTGGTGCTGCCACTGCTGCTGGTGCTACTGGTGCTGCAAAGCAGACCTTGCGTCCGAAGCGGCCGCTTGCGTTTGCCTTTCCTGGAATCTTCTCCTCCAAGCCGCCCCCGCTGAAAGAGCTACAGCACAAACAGGCACAGGGGTTCCTCCCTGGTGTGGTGGGTCCCATTCACGAGAATGCATCTGCACACCATAAGCACTCCTCCCATCACCATCACCCCTCTGCACCATCCTCACTGCCCCCAATTCCTCCCTCAGCTGCTCGTTCCCATGCTCACACCAGCAATACTGCCTCCATCGCCCCCTCCACTGCTCGTCTTACCGCTGCAAACTGGGCCTCATGCACCTTCCGTGCAGCTTCCCTCGCCATGGTCCGCGTCTGCCAGCTGTCCGCAGCTACTGCTGCCACCTCAGCAAGCAGATCCACGGCTAAATCTATAGGTCCTGTGTTGCTGGAAGACCCTCTTGCGGTTCCCAAGGCGTGCCGGGCGGCGTTGCTGAGTCAGCACGTGCTTGCTGAGCTGGCAGTGCAGATCACGGTGGATCTGATTGGCGATGAGCTGGCGTTTTTCCTGTCTGCCCTGCCTCCTCTGTCCGATCCCCTACTGGCCAAAACCAGTTTCTGGAGGTTTCTTATAGCCCCTTACAGGCTGCCAGGCGGAAAAATAGCAGAAGAGGAAGAAGAGAATATTGGTAGAGGGGAGGGGGGAGACGGAAAAGAGGAAGGGGATGTAGTGAGTAGACATGCAGAGCAGGGGGGGAAAGAGGGGGAGAGGGAGAGAGAAGCAGAGGACGTATTTCTTCCAAGGAAAAGTGTTCTTGTGCAGTCGTTTCCGAGCCTCACTGCATTTGATCCTCTGGTGTTCTTCTCTCCAAGGGAGACCTGGGGCCCGTTAGTGTCACATGCCCAAGGAGGAGGGGTGAAGGCACAAAGGGATACAGCAGGGTCGATGGGGGAATGTGAGGATATGGTGGCTGTTGGGAGCCAATCGGAATGCGCCATGTGGCGCGCCAGGGCGGCATTGCTGCGAGGAGCAGAGGCAGAGGCGGAGAGAGTGGGTGTTGATGTGAGGCTGGGGCACAGTGGGGGGCGTGTGGAGAGTTGGGAGTGTGGGGAGGGTGGGGAGGTTAAGGGTGAGGATGAGGTTTCCAGGAAGGAGGAGAAGGAGGAGGAGGAAAAAGGTGGTGGTGGCGTGGCAGGGAGTACAGGGCTTAAGGCACATGAGCGTCTGGAGGAGGGCGGCGGGGTGGTGGGAAGATGGTCGGCGGAACTGTCACGGCACCTGCGGGTGTTTTGTCTGTTGTGCGGGTGCGGCGTGGTGAAGCTCGAGGATGCTGCACGTGACAGCCTGGCAGCCAAAGAGGTGGGTGCACGGGCGGCGGGAAGGTGGGTGGGGTGGGGGGATATGGGATGATGAATGCAGAGACGAACGGCTGGGATGAGGTTGTATGCACCTCGTCCTCGAGCAATGAGACATAGGGGGGTGGTTGGTTGGTGGTGGTGTGGTAGGGCGGTGCAGGCATCTCGACTGCACTGCACCAGCTGAGGGTGTGGTGTGGAGCGTCATAAGGAAGTAAGTATTGCTTGGTGGTTTCGTGGTTCGGTGGTTTTCTTGTCGCCCTCTGTTATCACCTGCGACCTTCAATTTTACCCACGTGGGGCCTCATTAGTACCTCTCCTCAACTTCGTTGGCTGCTGCTGCTGCTGCTGCTGCAGGTGTCGTTCTGGCTGTCAGCAATCGTGCAAGCCACAGCAGGAAACGGCGCCAGCACATCCCAGCACAATCAGCATCAGCATCAGCATCACCGTCACCAGCACCAGCACCATCAGGACCAGCAGCAGCACAGCAAGAAAGCAGGAGCTACACCCTCCCCTATCTCTAAAGAGCTCGTGCTCCTCGCTCTCTCCCTCCTCTCCCTCATCCCCCCCTCCCTCGCCTCCTCGCCTCTCCTCCACCCCCTCTACCTTGAAGCAGCACGTTCCGTTCTCTCATCCCATCTCGCGATCAACCCATCTCACGATTCTGCACGTTCCTCCTCGAAGCAACCGCGAAACAAAGTGGCCGATGGGAGTGGTGGGGCAGACGGATGGGGACGAGGAGGAAACGAGGTGCTGGTGGTGTGGGTGCTGGTGCAGCTGATGCTCAAGAGGCATAAATCTCTGGTAGAGGTGTGTTTGCTTGTGTGAATGTGCACGTGTGTGTCCCATGTGCGCAACGAAGTCCTGGTGGTGTGGGTGCTGGTGGTGTGGGTGCTGGTGCAGCTGATGCTCAAGAGACACGAGGCTCTGGTGCAGGTGCATGTGATTGTGTGCACGTGCAATGTGAGTGAATGTCTGTGGGTGAGGCAAAGGGAGGAGGGAAGCAGAGGAAACAGGTGCTGGTGTGGGTGCTGGTGGTGTGGGTGCTGGTGCAGCTGATGCTTAAGAGACATAAATCTCTGACAGAGGTGCGTGTGAAAGAACACACTTGGATAAATGAGAATGCTTTTATCGTGAGCTTGTTGTGTGTGCCCACTCCCACTAAAGAGTACATGCACACGTGTCCATGTGCCCATGCGTGCATATGCCAGCTTGCCATTTCAGGCCCCTGGAATCACATATTCACTCTCCCCTTCCCTTTCTCCCACTCCTCCCTTTCATGCCTCTACCCCATCCACAGCTCATTCGGCAGACCCTGGGCTTCCCTGTGTTACTGAGCACCGCCTCTCTCACCCATCTCGCTGATACTGCAGTAGGGGGAGGAAGTCCCAACGGGAATGCTAACAGCACTGCTGCTGCTGCTGCTGCTGCTGCTGTTGCGCCTCCTGCCACTGCCGCTCGTGAGAATGCTACTTCTGCTGGCACTACCAATGCCGCCACTACCACCGCTGCTCCTGCGATAGTCTCTGCAGCAGGGGTGGTCAGAGCAGTGGCAGCGCTGCACCCACCGTGTGTTGCATCCCAGCAGCTCTTTTCAAACCAAGCCCACAGTACAGTCCGAAATTGCACCGGCCCAGTGGACAAACCAGCAGCAACAGTGCGAGCATCAGCATCAGCATCAGCAGCAGTGCGGGCAGCAGAGTGCATGCATCTGCTGCTAGAGGCAGACCTCTTCGCCCTCCACCACATCAACCCCACCCCGGCTCTCTTCCGCTGCCTCTACGCCGCTTCCCTCCCCATCCACCCTGTATTCCCTTCCCTCCTCTCCTCCTACGTCTCTGCCCTTGCTTCCGCGTCCCTCCCTCCTGCTCCACCCACCCCCGCCCGCACGCCAGTCTCCCACCCCCCCTCGGCCCACCCCCCGACGCACCCTCATTATTCTCTCCCCTCCTCGCACCCCTCCCCCTCCCACGCTTCTCCCTCTCACATCCCCCGTTCCCACCCCTCCCCGTCCCGCATCTCCCCATCCCACCCCTCCTCCGCCCACCCATCCCCCTCTCACCCCTCCCGCTCCCCCCACCACTCCACCTCCTCCCCTACCATTCCAAACACCGCCCCCACTCTCTCTCCCCCCACCACAACCCCTCCCAACCCTGCCATCCAACCCCTCTCTCGCTCTGCCCTCCTTCGTCTCATTTGGCCGGCCTGTCTCCTCACCACCTCTGGAATGCCTCACACTGCTCTGCTCTCTCCCCTCCTCTCCACACAACCTCTGCCCCAAGTGGCATCTCTGGAACCTGAATCAGGGTCAAAAACTGGTAAGGCGGGTGGGGGTGGTGGCGCCGGGGATGACGTGGGTGGGGCGGTGGGTCGTGGCACTAGTGGAATGCGGTTGGAGGAGATGTGCTGGGGTGAGGAGGGGAGGGTGCTGGCACGAGGGGCGCTGGGGTCGCTGTATGTGCTGCTGTGGGAGCGGGAGATGCAGAGGAAGCGAGGAGCGTGGGGGAGTGGGGAGAAAAGAGGTGGGCAGGAGGCGGGAGAGAGGAGAGGGGCGCAGGAGGGAGGGGAGAGGAGAGGGACGCAGGAGGGAGGGGAGAGGAGAGGGACGCAGGAGGGAGGGGAGAGGAGAGGGACGCAGGAGGGAGGGGAGAGGAGAGGGATACAGGGCGTGCCGGGCAAGAGAGGAGTTGCTGGGGCTGAATTCGTGCTGCCAGAAGTGGGAGAGGAGTTCGAGGAAGGGGAAGAGGGAGATGAGGGAGCAGAGGGGGAAAATGAAGAGGAGGGAGAGGCGGGAGAAGAGGGAGAGGAGGAACGAGAGGAGGGCGGTGGTGGGAGTGGCAGGATAGGAAGTGCAAGGGTGACAGTTGGAACAGGGAGCAGAGGAGCGGTGCAGGCATGCAGAGCAGTGGTCATTCATGCCCTGCCAGGGCAGCAGTGGTGGCAGTTGCTGCTGCGTGCCGTGCCCTGGCACACCCTGCTTGCCACCTTTGAGCGGAGGTTCCTTGACTTCACCCCGCTCATGCCTACTGTGAGTGTTGTAGCTATTAGAGAGAGTGTCACTTCGCTCCTTCACTCTCTGATGCCCACCGTGTGTCACTCCACTTGCCAAAGATCCTTCTCTTCTCCTTTCTTGCAAACTTCACTCCACTGTATGTGTCACCTTCCCTTTGCCTTCCTTTCCCTCCGTTGCCTCTCTCCTCTCTTGCTTTTCCTCTTTCGCTGTGCTGCTTCTTCCCAAGACCCCCCTCACAAACCTTTTCCCAACCTGTGTCTCCTGTGAATTCTCTTTCCTGCTTGCAGTGGCAGTCTCTGGCGTTTTCTATGCTGCCCGACTTTCCCGGGCAGCCTCCTCGACTGCCCCTACCAACAAACTCCGACGCCTTTTCCCTCACAAGCCCTTTTCCTCCCCCTCCTCCTCTCCACACACTCGCCCGCCCCAAAGCCCTCCGCACCTTCCCCTATCTCAACCTCCTCCTCCCACCCTCCCTCCCTGCCACGTCAGCACGCTCCACCACCACATCAGCCCGCTCATTATCCACCTCAGCACGCTTGATTGCTATTCCAGCAAACGGAACAGCACCAGATGACAGCCTGCCACACCAGCACGCTCTAGACATCCTCTACTCTCTTCTTCACACCCTCCTATCCCCAAACGCTCCCAACACTCTCAACAATCTTAACACCCCTCCCATCTCCTTCACTTCAAGCCCTGTGCAAGCATTTGAGTGGAGCATGGCTAATTGCCCCCTTGCCTTAAACTCCAACCCCCAGCAGCAGCAGCATGAGGAGTTTTGCATTCTTCTCTGCGCTCTTCTTGATGCCTGGCAGTTTCCCCTCTCCTTATCCCTCTCGCTCTCCCTCTCTGCCTCCGAACCTGCTGTCAAAGGAGTCACGCAAAGGGGCAGGGAAAAGTTTTTTAGCGTCTCCCTGGCCGACGCAGGGTTTGACGTTGGGGATTGGGCGGCAGAGCTTGTCATTATCAACAACCTGCTTTCTTCTCTCTTACAGTCACACTCGCTGCAATCACACTCGATCATGGACCTGAGGGCTATCCAGGTGTCATTCTCCTATTGGTGGAGCCGACTCCCCCCTCTGGGATATCTAGCTCTCATGCCAGCTGTGGTCGAAGCGATTCAAACTCAGAACTTCCCTCCTCCCTCCTCTCCATCCCCCTTCTCCCTGTCGCCCTCACCCCCCCTCCCTCTCTCCACTCACTCCCCACCACCTCCACCTTCCCTCTCACCTCCTCGTTTCTCTCCTCTGGAACTTCCTCCCTTTCCATCTTCCCCGTCCCTCCCTGTCCGTCCCCCCCACCCTCTAGACGCCCTCACTCTCCCCCTCCGCCTCCTCTCCTCCCACCCGCTCCTCTTCCGCTCCCCTCCCCTCCTCTCTGGCCTCCTCCTGCCAATCCTGACGCGCCAGCTGGACGATTTCCGCAGGGCGTGCGCTGCTGAGCTGGCAGAGGGAGCAGGTGGGGAAAACGGTGGGGGGGTTACAAATGGTGATGGAGAGAAGGGTGGGAATGGTGGGAGCAGTGCCACTGCTGGCACTGCTGGTGCTGGCGGTGCGGCTAGAGGGGGAGCCGGAGCAGCGGAGAAAGGGGAGAGAGGCGGGGGAGGTGCAGGGAAAGTGGGGACACGGGCAGGGTCAGAGGAGGAAGGCAAAGGATCCAATCAGACCGGTCCTGGTGTGGGTGGTGTGGGTTTGGGTTTCGGTGTGGGGTTGGGGTTGAGCAAAGGGGTGGTGGCGAGGCTGGGGAAGCGGATGAGCGGAGCGGAGGTGGAGAATGGGGTGGTGGCGATGGTGGGGGTGGTGGCTCAGATGGCCCTGGAGATGTGTGGTGAGTTGCAGGAGGAAGGCGAGGAGGAGGGGGAGAGGGTGGAAGAGATTTTTGAGAGGCTGGAGGAGTTGGGGGGAGAGGAGGAGCAGGGAGATGAGGAGCATGAGGAGGAGGAGGGTGAGGATGAGGGGGTGGAGGGTGAAGAGGAGGAAGTGGGGCAATGGAGGAAGCAGCGTGAGCAACAAAGGCATGAACTACAGAGGGAGCGGTGGCAGGCGGGGCAGCAGGGCAGGGACGTGCGAGCATGCCAGGCCATGCTCTTCGCCTTCCTCGACCGCCTCATCGCCCAGCACCCGCTGCTGCTCCGCCTCCTCACCTTCCAGGTACCTTCCTGCCGCCGAGTTGATGTTTGATGCAAGCCGTCCCCCCCCCATCACACGCAAGGCGTCGTTGGTAATGCACCACATGCCCTTGTCCCCCTTATAATTCTCTCATTCTGTCCCTCCGCATCTCTGTATTTCGTTCCCTCCGTCCCTTTGTCCTCTTCTGCAGGGCTTTTCGCTCACATGTGTACCTCCCCTGGTTGCAGCCTCCCCAGCCACACGCTCGCTCCTCCCAGCACTCGTGCGGGAGTTGCTGCAGCAGCCAATCATGTCGCGCCAGCTCATGGCCGTGGCTCTGGTGGCGGAGTATGCTGTGTGCTGTAGCGATGCACCCGACGCCCTGCCGCTCGCCTCCCATGTGAGCCGTCCTTCCCCGCACCATTTCCTTCTCAGTCGCCCTCTCTTCCTCTCATCCGCTCTTCCCTCCACTATCAAGCTTTCTTCCTCTCCCTTCACTCCGACCTGCTAGCCCATTCGTCCTCATCTCCATCTCCTCCCCCTGCGTGTCCCCTTTACCCCCTCCCCGTCACCAACCCCCCCTCTCCCCTCCCCTCTCCTCCATCGTTATCAGGTGCTGCATCTGCTCGCCCACACGCTCACCCACACGGCCGCTGCCACCAACTTCCTCTCCTTGTCTGTGCCCCCCACGTTCCCCTCCCCTCTGCCCCCCAATCCACACCAGGTGCTGCATCTGCTCGCCCACACGCTCACCCACACAGCCGCTGCCACCGACTTCCTCTCCTCCGCCCTCCCTTCCGCCGTCAGATGTGCCATCGCCCTCCCCTCCCTCGCCCCCGCCACAGTCACACTCCTGCGTGACTGTACCAGGGTGGCGGGACCCCTGCTGCCCTACCTTTCCCCGCAAGTCCCCGCGCTCTTTGCAGCAGCGGAGGCAGCCTGGAGGGTCCTGGTTAGGAGCCTATCCCGCACAGCCACCGTTCCCCTCCTGTTGCTGCAATTGTCCTGAACATCTCTTTCAGGTATACTACTAGGTCACATGAAGCCAAGAGTGCAGAGAAAACTTGTGTTTTTTGCTTCGCACTTGTACAAACAAGTACCGTATCGGTCCACTAGAACAATCCAACCTACCTTTGGTTGGAAGCAAACACATTGTAATGAAGTCTAGAGTCTCGCACAGAAAGTGCGGCCCTGCTTGAGTATCTCGTCTTGACATACGGTAACAATGGATTATGGTTACTGTACCTGACCCTGCTCTAAACATGAGTTGGACAAAGCAGATGGGGTGAAGCATGAAACTGCTCGCCACCCTCCGATGCTCTTGCTAGCTTGGTAATAGGTCCAAACGCTCGGAGCAGCGTGATCGAACGGAAGAAAGACGCTCGGAACGAGCGTTTTCATCCCCAAAACGCGGAAGGATCCGCACATGTGCAGAAAATGCACCAGGCACGGTTCATTCGCAGTACAAATGACTGATCGTGCTCGCCACCCTCCCACGCTCTTGCTGGCTTGGTCCAAACACACACAGCCGCGTGACCGAACGGAAGAAAAACGCTCGCAACGAGCGTATTCATCCCCAAAACGAGGAAGGATCCGCACATGTGCAGAAAATGCAGCAGCCATGGTTCATTCGCCAGTACCAATGACCGATCATGCTCTCACCCTCCCACGCTCTTGCTGGCTTGGTAATAAGTCCAAACACACACAGACGTGTAACCGAGCAGAAGAAAAACGACCGAAACGAGCGTTTTCATCCCTAAAACGCGGAAGGATCCGCACATGTGCAGAAAATGCAGCAGGCATGGTTCATTCTCCAATACCAATGACCGATCATGCTTGCCACACTCCCAGTCTCTTGCAGGCTTGGTAATAGGTCACAGCCGGGTGATCGAACGGAAAAAGAACGCTCATAACGAACGTTTTCATCCCCAAAACGCGGAAGGATCCACACATGTGCAGAAAATGCAGTAGGCACGGTTCATTCGCTAGTACCAATGACCGATCATGCTCGCCACCCTCCCACGCACTTGCTGGCTTGGTAATAGGTCCAAGCGCATATAGCCGCGTGACCGAACAGAAGAAAAATGCACGGAACGAGCGTTTTCATCCCCAAAACGCGGAAGGATCCGCACATGTGCAGAAAATGGAGCAGCCATGGTTCATTCGCAAGTACCAATGACCGATCATGCTCGCCGACCTCCCACGCTGGTTATACGTTGTACTAAAAAGAGTGCGCGGAAGACTTTATAAAAAGGATGAATTCTAGAATGACGAGATAATGAAAAAAACGAGAATTTATAAAGCGAATATGTGATAGGCAAGAACCTCGTGACGTGCGGGGTTGGACGTGTCGCGATCGGTGTGGGGCGACTTGGCAGTGGTTCGGGCCGAAATGTAGGCCGAACAAAAAACTGACGCGAAGTGCTCAGGGCTGTACGCCCTAGTAGCAGACTTAGTAATGAATAGCTATATTCATTACTAGAGCTCTTGCTTGCTTGGTAATAGGTCCAAACGCACATAGCTGCGTGACCGAACGGAAGAAAAATGCTTGGAACGAGAGTTTTCATCGCCAAAACACGGAAGGATCCGCACATGTGCAAAAAATGCAGCAGCCATGGTTCATTCGCCAGTACCAATGACCGATCATGCTCGCCACCCTCCCACGCTCTTGCTGGCTTGGTAATAGGTCCAAACACACACAACCGCGTGACCGAACGGAAGAAAAAAACTCACAACGAGCGTTTTCATCCCAAAAACGAGGAAGGATCCGCACAAGTGCAGAAAATGCAGCAGCCATGGTTCATTCGCCAGTACCAATGACCGATCTTGCTCTCACCCTCCCACGCTCTTGCTGGCTTGGTAATAAGTCCAAACACACACAGCCGCGTGATCGAACGGAAGAAAAATGATCGGAACGAGCGTTTTCATCTCTAAAACGCGGAAGGATCCGCACATGTGCAAAAAATGCGACAGGCATGGTTCATTCGCCAGTACGAATGACCGATCATGCTCGCATGTTGAAATGAAGGAACAAGAAAAAGTGATTGAACTAGTAGTGAAATCAGTACAAGTACCTAACCCTAGAATTGTGTACCCCCTATAGGCTAACCCACTGTAGCCTTAACAAGCACAACATATATAATGTTTGACATCGCCACCCTCCCACGCTCTTGCTGGCTTGGTATTAAATCCAAAGACACACAACCGCATGACTGAACGGAAGACACGAGCAGGGGGCAAACTCAGGACCAGACCTGGACGCCGCAGCAAACACCGCACTCGACGCAGCTACCTGGGCAGACTCAGCAGTAGGAGGAGACTCAGCAGTAAGGGTGTACAGGCTCGACCCTGGGCGACGGGTGAACGTGGCCAAGTGTCGGCATGTCCGAGCACACGTGCAGTGGGTCACTCGCTGACTCGCAGGAGTGAACTGGTCAACCCCTCGATCCTGTAGGTCCGCTCCACTCACCAAGTTCGTAGAGAACGAGGGGGGGCTGCAGGGCACAGAAGGACAATGAAGAAGCTAGCAAGGACAGGACCCCCAGAGGGGTCTGCCAGGGAGACTGCAACCGGCCGACTAAGCGGCGTAAGAGTGGTGCGGTCTCGAAAGAAGGAGCGGGACGCACCCGAGTCCAGGGTGAAGGTGTGGAAGGCCTGAGCCGGCGTAGTACCTGAGAGAGCAGACTCACCAGCACCTGGGGCTGCAGACGCACTGGCCCCTGGGGCAGCAGACGCACTAGCAACTACAGCAGCAGTCTCACTAGCACCTAGCTCAGCAGCCTCAATGCCCGGGTCAGGCGGTACACACAGGTAACAGGCACCCTCAACACTATCAGCAACAGCATACATGGCAGCAAGAATAGCATCAAAGTCAAGATCAAAGATAGCAACCCCGGCCTTAGCCAGATCTCCCCAGCGAGGGATCTCTGACGCCTCAGGGAACTGGCGACGCCACGCGTCCGTCAGGCGACCGAAGCAACGCTGGGTGGAGTGCGGGCCTCCGCACTGCTCACCGGTGCGGTCGCCGGTACGGAGATCGTAAGAGCAGGGACCAAAACCCCCACCGCGCTGGCGTGCAGTGTACCACTCACGAAGCTGCTGAGGGGACAGGGTCACACCACTCCGCTGCTGCTGCTGGCGCTGACTACCACCTGCGCCACTCCTCTGCGCAGAGTCGCGACTCGCTCCACCACCGCCGCCTCCGCCGCCGCCGCCTCCGCCGCCTCCGCCGCCTCCTCCACCTCCGCCTCCTCCACTACCTCCGCCGCCTCCGCTCCCTCCGCCACCTCCACCGCCTCCGCCGCCTCCACTGCTGCCACCGCCGCCGCCACCCCCGGCACCACTCCCACCACCACCCCCACTCCCTCCACCGCCTCCACCACCACCTCCACCGCCCCCTCCAGCCCCTCCAGTGCCCTTGCCCCCCTTGCCCTTGCCGGTGCGGCGTCTCCCGCTCGGGGCAGACGCAGCGCCGACCGACTCGAAACCAACGAGGTCAGCCGCAGCAGCAGAGGCAACAGAGGGCAAGAGGGGAGAGGGAGAACACCCCTCAAAGACGGGGGTGCGAGGGTCACCACGAGAGGCTCCTACAGCGACTATGCTCTTCTTGGCAGAACTCAGCAAGAAGCGCAGCGCGGTAGCGAGTGTCACTAGTTCAGAGGTGCATAATGAGGTCAGCGACAGTGGGAAAGGCAGCAAGGTCAGGGAAGAGGTATGGTAGCATGAGGCGGCTCAGTGCAGCAGTGGCAGGGGAAGAGTAGCGTGCAACTACAGCATCGTACAAGGTCTGAGCACTCTTGTACTAGCTAAAGTGTGCACGCTCAGTGGTCAGTAAGTGGCGGCGCACAGCAAGGCGAGCAGCAGCATCACGTGTGGCCCACTGTGAGCAAACAGTCGCGTTAGCATCAGCAGCAGGGGCAGGGGAGGCACCAGAAGTGAGGTCAAACAGGGAGAGGCCGTCTGCCCTATCACACTGCAGGAAAAGCTGCAGATCATCTACCCAGACCTCAAAGTCTACTGCTCGACCCTCAGCGTCAAAGGTGAGAACGCTAGGGGAAGCCATAAAAGTAGTAGGCAGGCCGTGAGTACAGGGTACCCTAAGCGGGGCCGTTCCGGGGCGTAGCGAGGCCAGACGGGGCCTAAGTGGGGCCGCAACGAGGCCGTAAGGGGCTTAAGCGAGGCCACGACGGGGCTGTGAGGGGCCTAAGCGGGGCCACTACGGGGCCTAGGCAGGGCCGCGACGGGGTCGTAAGGGGCCAGACGGGGCCGTAGAAGGCGGCTCGAGAGGCCGTAAGGGCGGCCAACGGGGGCCAATAAGGCGGCTCGAGGCGCGACTCGGGTTAGGAGCGAAGCGCGCTCCGAGCAGGGAAGGAAACAAAAAAAGTTTGTGGTGGGCCCTAGCCAGTATTCCCACTCGGGAACCTGCTCGATACCATGACGAGAAGTGAGAATGGATGAATGAACAATGAAATAGCTGGGTACAAGTACTAACCCTAATTGGGTTGTACACCTTATGGGCTACCCCCACTACAGCCTACACAAATGTATCAGCTATAATGTTCTGACAGGTAGGTGAGCCAGCGTAACCACTGTGCAGCCATGACTGTGGCGTAGATCTCAGCCTCACAACTGTAGCTGAGAACTGAAGACGAACGTGTAGAACGCCAAGAAGCGTCTGAGTGCCCACTGAGAACAACTGGGCTCCCTCCTCCAAGCACGAGCCCCATGCCCGATGTACTTCACAAGTAGCGCAATACCCTCTTTGCAGCATCCCAATGCACCTTTTGGTGCCTACCAGGAGCCACGTAGCGGGCCAGAAGGCCAAGAGGATACGCTAGGTCAGGACGAGTGCAAGTCATCAGGTACATGAGGCACCCAACAAGCTCTGGGTACGGGCCACTCGGCTCTACGGACTCATCCGAAGACAGAGCTGAGAGCGAGTGGCGAGTAGACAGAGGAGTGGCCTGAGGCGAGGAGTATGTGAAGCCGAAGCGCTGAAGGACCTGCTGCACCATGTGTGACTAAGTCAGGGTAATGGTGCGCTGTGCTCTGTCCCGAGTAATCTGCAAGCCAAGGTAGCTACGCGGTTCACCCAGGTCTGTGCACGTGTGTCTCTTCTGCAGCTCCGACTTCACGTGGGCGAGAGCCTCAGTGTCAGCAGTGGCAAAGACCAAGTCGTCGACCTACACGAGGATGTGGAATGGCGGCAGCGAAGTGTCGGTGCGCAGAAACAGCGACGGGTCGGTAGTAGAAGGCGTGAACCCAAGTGCCGCAAGAGTAGTCCTCAGTGTGTCGTGCCACTCACGTGGCGCCTAGCAGAGACTGTAGACCGGCCGCCGGAGGCTCCACTGGGTACCAGGAGGAAACGACCCAGTGAAGCCAGGAGGGCGGCGCAGCCAGATCTCCTCGTGCAGGCTGCCCTGCAATAAAATTGTGCTGAAGTCAAGAGAGTGAAGCTCGTAGTCACGCTGAGCAGCAACGTGCAGTAGCACCCAAAGAGTGGTCATCTTCGGGGTGGGGGAGAAGGTCTGAAAGAAGTCTACTCCCTCTCGCTGACTGAAGCCTCGAGCAACGTAACGAGCCTTGAAGACATGCGGAGAACCCGGTGGCCGCTTCACCCTGAAAATCCACATGCCACTAACGATGTTCGCCCCAGGAGGGGGAACCTCGTCGACGTAAGTGCCAGTGGACTTCCAGAATGCCATCTCTGCATCCATGGCTGACTGCCACTGAGAGGAGTACTTACCCGCGATCGCCTCAGCGTAAGAGCGCGGGGTCGGGATGTCTAGAGCATCCGGGTCTCCCTCACGGGCAATCAGCATGGACAGGAGATGAGGCGCAGCGGCTGCAAGACAATCAAGGTCCTCCTGTCTGTCCTCAAGGACGTCCGTGCCTAGAGCACACTCACCCCCGACGGACGGAGGACAGACAGACTCAGACTCAGCAAGAAGACTGGTGGTGTAGTTTAGACGACAGTGAGCAGCAAAGTCGACAAGCTCAGCAACTAGGGCAGACGCAGCAGCAGACTCAAAGTAAGGGTCAGTGACAGCAGTGGCCAGGAGACGCGTGACAGTAGGACTCACAGCACGAAGAGAGTCAGACTCTGGGTCAGCAAGAACAGGAAGAGAGGACTCAGGAGGAGACGGCAGAGGGACACGCTGTGGAGCAGTGGAAGGACACAGAGTCATATAGTGTGTGCCAGGGATAAGTGGAGGACGCTCACGCAGAACACGGCGACCAGTGCGAGCAGCACGAACAGGTGACACAGGACGAGACACAGGCGACACAGGACGAGACTCCGGCTCACGACGCTCTGTAAGACCGCCTGTCGGACCAGTGTAGGGAGAAGGACCAGGAAGTGGCGAGGCAGGGGGTAGCTGTGACTGCGACTAGAGAGGCGGAAGACACTCTAAGGAGGGGGGAGGACTAGGAGGAGGCGGCTGACCAAGAACCTGCTGAAGGAGCGGAACGAAGTACGGCCGCAGCCGTGAAGTGCCCCGAGAAGCAGCAGAGACAGCACCAGAACCTCCAGCCGAACCAGCACCAGCAGCACCTCGAGCAGTTCCAGTACCTCCAGCAGCACCAGCAGCACCTCCAGCAGCTCCAGAACCTCCAGCAGCACCAGCAGCACCTCCAGCAGCTCCAGAATCTCCAGCCGAACCAGCACCAGCAGCACCTCCAGCAGCTCCAGCACTAGCAGCACCTCCAGCAGCTCCAGAACCTCTAGCAGCAGTAGGGCCTCCAGCGGGCTGTACCTCAACACCAGGAGCTCCACTCCGGAGGGTACAGTGCCAAGCGTACCACACACGCAGCCGCTGAGGGGAGGGAGGCTCCGGCCGCGACACCGTACCCGCAGGGCCACCAGCCTCAACTCCAGCAGACCTCCCAGCTCCAGTAGCCCCACTATGGAGGCTGTAACGCTGGGAGTACCACTCACGCAGCTGCTGTGAAGAGGGAGCGCCAACAGGCGCAGTACGGTCGGACTCAGAGCCTCCAACCTCAGCTCCTATGGGCTCAGCACCCCCAGTCGCAGCACCCCCAGGCTCACCACCCGCAGTCTCCGCACCCCTAGACTCAGCACCCCCAGGCTCCGCACCCCCAGGCTCAGCACCCTTAGTCTCAGTACCCCCAGACCCAGCACCACCAGGCTCAGCACGCTCAGCACCTCGCGCAGGACCAGAGTCAACTGCTACCTCGACAGGCTCGACCGGGTCTACCTGGGAAACACCTGAGAGAGCAGCACCCTGGGGAGGGAGGGGGTCTACCGACGAGACACCTGGGGTGAGAAAGAGCGGCGGGGGGGGGAGCGGGGCAGTGCGGTAGGGGAAGAGACGGTAAAAGGGTACCGACTCGTCAAAGGTGACGTCCTAAGAGGCGAAGACACGGCGCGAGGTGGGGTGGTAAAACTGCTAGTAAGGCGCGTCAGGGACAAAGCCAAGGAAGACACAGGGAACGGCACGGGAGGAGAGCTTGTCCGCGGACGTATCGTGGACAAAGGCTCGACATCCCCGGACTCGGAACACCGACGCATCGCCAACCTCCCCTGTCCATCGCAGGATAGGCGAGGTCTCCGGAACAGAGACACGGGGCCAGAGGTTGAGCTGATGCGCGGCGTACTGCACTGCAAACGGCCACATGAAATGGGAGGTTGCCGCATGGATCATGGAGGTACGAGCGACCTCCATGACAAGACCGATGCGGCGCTCAGCAACCCCATTTTGTTGCGGAGAGGCCGGGAGAGTGAACGTCTGGCGGATGCCGTGCTCCGCACAGTAGGCTGCCAAGAGGTCAGAGGAGAACTCGCCACCTTTGTCAGAGTGCAAACATAGGACAGGAAGGTCCGACTGGAACCGCTCGCGGAGCTGGAGACGAGCAGCGCGGATCCAGGGGATCAAGACATCAGGGACCTCACCCTTGGTACGCAAGGGGAAGACCGTGGTGTAGCGCGTGTAGTCGTCGACGACCAGCAGAAAGTACCGCTCGTGGCCCTTGCCCCGGACGCGAGCGGGGCCCCACACGTCTAGGTGGAGAGTCTGCAAGGAAGCCTCTGTGGGAGGGAACGAGGAAGAGTGAGGAGCGGCGCGCTGCCGCCCCTCGACACATGGAAGACAGGGAGGAGCAGGCGAGGGTGGCAGGGGAGGGAGAACCTTGGGAAGACTAGAGACAAGGTACCTGGAGTGCATGCTGCGAAGGCGCTGCACTGACGGGTGACCAAGGCGGTGGTGCCAGAGGACAGTCCTGTGTGACAGGGAGCGACATGAACAGGGGGCTGACAGCTGACCTGACGCAGACGCAGACGCAGCTATCTGAGGGGACTTAGTGGTCAGTGTGTACAAGTCTGACCCCGGATGCCGAGTAAAGGTAGCCAGGTGACGACCCATCCGGGCGCACGTGCAATGCGTCACACGCTCGTAGGCTGGGGTGAACTAGTGGAGACCTGCGTCTTGGAGCGCGGAACCCGCCACCAAGTTCGTAGAGAACGAGGGGAGGTAGAGGCCAGACAGCATGCCAGACGGGACAGCAGGACAAGGGAGGGCAGTGGTGGAGGTCGCAAGGACCGGACCCCCTGAGGGGTCGGCCAGGGAGACAGCAACCGGTCTAGGGAGCTGCTCTAGGGCAGTGCGGTCGCGGAAGAAATAGCGGGAAGCACCTGAGTCCAGTGTGAAGGTGTGCAGTGCCTCAGTAGGTGCGGTACCAGCAGACGTAGACGCACTAGCACCTAGGGCAGTAGCCTCACCAGGACCTAGAGCAGCAGACGCGCTAGCACCTAGAGCTGCAGCCTCACAGGTCCCAATACCCGGGTCTGGCGGTACACTCAGGTAACAGTCACCCTCAGCACTAATAGTCAATGCATACATAGCAGCAAGGATAGCATCATAATCAAGAGCAAAGATATCAATCCCCTTCCTAAGCAGATCAGCCCAGCGTGACAGCTCAGAGGCGTCAGGGAACTGCTCGCGCCAAGCGTCGTTGAGGCGAAAGAAACAGCGATGCGCCGTGTGAAACTTCCCACAAGTCTGGCCAGTGCGGTCACCTGTGCGGATGACGTACGGGCAGGTACACATATATAATGTTTGACATTATTCACTGTATTTGTATAGAGAAAATAATGTGTCGGCTAGTAAGGTCAGTATGCATGCTTGTGTGTAGGTAGAAGGCGGAGCTGAAACTCTGAAATTTTCCAAATTATATGGATTGGAAAGGTTATAACCAAGTGTTGTTGAAGTAGAAGACCTAATCTAGTGGACTGGCAAGATTATGGCACTAACTGCATCTCTACAAACATACGTAATGCGCTGGTCAGTTTGGTCGGTATGCGTGCCTGTAGTGCAGGTACCATGTACAACTGAAATGTCTTTATCTGCCAAATTACATAGATCCGATGGGTTAATACATGGTAGGGGGGTGGGGGAATGGTATCATTTAAAGGAAATGG